ACCATTACCCGGCGAGGGGACTTTTTTTTGTGGTCCACTCTATTTGGTGTTCTGTAAGCTTCTTGTACCTTCATTGGCATGTCTTTCTTAAGGTTGGGAAAGTTTTCTTTTATGATTTTGTTGAATATGTTTTCTGCCCTTTGAGGTGGTTTTCTTCTCCTTCTTCTATACCTATCATTCTTAGGTTTGGTCTTTTCATGGTGTCCCATATTTCCTGGATGCTTTGTGTTAAGGATTTGTTGGATTTAAGGTTTTCTTTGGTTGATGAATCCATTTCTCCGAGTGTATCTTCAACACTTGAGATTCTCTCTTCGTCTCTTCTATTCTGTTGGTAATGCTTGTATTGGTAGTACCTGACTGTTTGCCCAGCTTTTCTATTTCCTGCCTTTCTTCAGATTGTGCTTTTTTTTATTTTCTCTATTTCAGTTTTCAACCCTTACAATGTTTGCATTGCTTCTTGCAATTTTCGGTTTATCTTTTCGTCCATTTGTTGCCTTTTATGAAATTTTTGGTTGTTCTTTCTTCCATTTCTTGCATTTTTTTGCTTTGTTTTTTCTTCCATTTCTTGCATTTTTTGCTTTGTTTCTTCTTCCATTTCCTGCCTTTTTTGGGTGTGTTTCTTCTTCCATTTCTTTCATTTTTTGCTTTGTTTTTTCTTCCATTTCCTGCCTTTTTTGGTTTGTTTTTTCTTCCATTTCTTGCATTTTTTGGTTTGTTTTTTCTTCCATTTCTTTGAGGGATTTTCCTATATCCTCTTCTGGGGCCTCTATCATTTTTATGAAAGTGGTTTTAAGGTCATTCTCTTCTGCTTCATTTGCATTGTAATGTTGGAGTCTTGCTGGTGTGGAGTCTCTAGAATCTGGTGGTGTCATATTTGTTTTTCTGTTGCTGAGTGTGTTTTTGTATTGTCTCTTTCTCATCTCTTCTTCTAGTGGATGCAGAAAGAGCACCTTACTGGTATGGTGGTTAGGGGACCAGAGTTCCCTTTTGGTGGGTGCTAACAAGTCCAATAATCTGGTGGTTCTTCTATTCCTTGTCCTCGTTCTGGTCCCGTGGGTGGAGAAGAAAAACAGGAATCTGGGGCACTTAGCCTCCCACCTGGTCCCCTGGATCCTATGCTGGATCTTTTGTACCTGATCCTGCAGCCGGAATAGCTGCTCCCCTGGTCTCCCTGGCTCCTCTGGTTTCCTGGCCTCGTTGATGGGAGAGAAGTCCTGGAGTCTGGGGTGTTTGGCTCCCGCCGCGATTGGAAGCTCTGTGTACTTCCCAGGCGATCCCCAGGCACTGGAACACAGGCCCAGAAGCAGGGCCTGTTGTACCTGATGCAGCCTCCGGAACAGCTGCTTCGGCTCATTGTTAGTTTATGAGCATTGGTGTTTCGCTGGCATTTGTGTCAGTGTGAACGTGTCAGGTCCCCTGGCCCTGGAGTTAGTTATGAGCTGCCGTGTGGGTGCTGCAGAACGTGGAGCCCAGGGCTGCGGGCATCCCAGGCCTCACTGAGCAGCTGTGGGCCTGAGGGCTGAGCACACTGTCTAAGACAGCCACACAGCACCCGCCCAGTCAGCTACGGGGTGACAGCCAGGTGTAATGACAGCACTGCCACAGGGCTGGGACTTAAGCACCCACCCCAAACAGATGGGGAAAGGAGGTTTGAGATATCCAGTGTCCCTCTTAACTGGGACACTGCCCTGGCATCTCAGGGTGACCGAGGCAGGCAGACAGGGCTGACAGACACTAACATCTCCCAACTCTGGGTTCTGTCCCAGCCTCAGGCCTGTGCTAAGCTCCTGCTAGAGCAGTGGACTTCCTGCCCCATCATCGCTGCCTGGCCCATTTGCGCATCTGTTGAGTGCTACATCTCGCTGGTTAGACTGCAAGTCCCCAAAACCTGGGGACGCATCTTTTCACGGTGACTGCTGACCTGGATATGAATACACACTGCGGGAGGGAAGGCTGGGAAAGACCTGTGGCCTCAGGACAGCTCAGACATGAGTGCTGCTCGTTTGGGCGGGAGAAAGATACCACTACATCGCCACCCTTCCGCAGAGCTCAAAACCTCCTCCACCTCCAGTTACTCTGCCTGTGATATAACTGGGGACCTAGAGGTGTCAGGCCACTGGCCACATACAGCAGATATTTACAATGAGCTACTTGGAGGACAGGGAGGCTATGAATTGGACAGCAGGGCTTGGCTTGGGCAGCTGAGTGGCCGCGGGTCAAGGATAGGAACAAGGAGGCAGGAGCTGTCTCTGCCATGTTGAGGGCCACGGACACTGAGGGAAGGTTGAGCTGAATGGCTGGCCATCTCTGCATGGTGGTCTTAATTGTCCTAATCCTGTGGTAGGAAGATGTCGCCCACTGCAGCCTCTTCCCCTAGATTTTTTCTAGACAGGGTTTCTCTTTGTAACTGCCCTGGCTGTTCTGGAACTCGCTTTGTAGACCAGGCTGGCTTTGAACTCACAGAGATTCTCCTGCCTCTGCCTCTAGAGTGCTGGGATTAAAGGTGTGCACCGCTACCACCACCTCCCCTCAGTTTTCTTAACTACAGCCAGAATTCTGACACTGGGTTCCCATGGCCACTGTGGTCTGGGTGTCACTGAATGTTTGAGTCCTCAGTGAAGAGTCCCTTACAGCAAGTGCCCGTGGGGGAATACCACCTCTGTAGCTGCCATGAAGCTACCCTGCAACCAGTGCCTAGCATTTCCTGAGCAGGAAGTAGGCCTGCTCGCTGCAGGGGTCAGGTGACTGGCCTATGCCACACTCCTGCCCCTCCTGCAGGCTAGATGGAGGCCTTAATCTGGTCTTCCTTCACCTTTGGGTGGCCCTCCCTAATGCAGACATGTCTCTCCCGCGCCTCTGGAATTTTCACCTTTGGGTGGCTCTCCCTGATGCAGACAGACATGTCTCTCCCACTCCTCTGGAATTTTCAGGGGATGTTTTGTCTCTTCAGCACACAGGCAGCCTCACCCTTGGTGGGTATCCAGTCATATTTCTGTAGACACATACGGGCAGATGTGAAAAGAGCCCTCCATATAGGGAGTTGTCTGTTCCCAAGTCCATCTCACAACATATGTGTTCAGCATTGAGGTTGGCTGGCAGATGCAAATTCCAGAGTCAAAGTGTTCCACTTGGGAGTGCCAGAAGCAACTCCATAGGGACCAGCTGGCCAAAACTCACCTGTAGAGGGGCTGCCCTGGCTTTGGATGGTTCCTGTGTCCTGGGCAGCCCCGCCCTGCCTGACAGCTTCAAGCATTGCTACCTTGGCTTCCTCCCTTGGCCTCTCCCTTCAAACCAAGATCAACCTTTAGTTTGGAAGCAGGAAGAGTAGAGTTGGGAGAGGAAGCTCACCAGGGAAGGGGCCAGCAAAACAAGCCTAACACAAGGCAAACAGCCAGTACTGGTCTAGGATGTCCCCAAGATAGGAGTGGGGTTCAAACCCCAGATCCTCCGAGTGAAGCCCTCGGGCAGAGCTGAGTAGGTAGAAGTTCCTGTAACACTGGTCAGTTGGGGAGGGTGAGGCGCTTCTGGCGCACACGTGACCATTATTAGCTGGAGAAGTTTGGGCTGAGCTAGTCCCTGGACCCCTGTGATGGCTTTTGGCTGCTGTGATACTAGCTGGTTAGGCTGTGACCCTGAAGCTTCTGAGATGGGCTGAAGTATGTGCCAAGTGACTGCTCACTTGCTGGTGCCCTGGCTTCATTGAAACTACCAGTCCCACCCCCCCCTTGTCCTTCCCATGCGTCATTTAAGATGCTAAGTGCTTCTTCCCTCAAGGGCACTTCCAGAACCACACTCAGCCCTGGAATGGCTCTGCCACCCACTCATGGCTGTGCTTCAAATGCCTTAACCTGTGTAAGCTTCGCTGGGCCGGCCAATGTGGACCAGCACGGTGGTATCTTGTAGGTAAGGAAGCAATCTCGGGAGGCTGTGCCCATGTTGCAGAGGAAGGACGGGCAGGTGGCCGAGCCATGGCTAGCACCAGCCCTACCTGGCCAGGTGCTCCCCTGCTTGCCTGATCTCAGAGCCAAGTTCTTGGAAGAAGTAGGTGTTCGCCCAGTTCTAAATGGTCCTTTATGAGACCACATGGGGTCACTACCACAGGAGGAGTCATTCCCTGCATCAGTCTGAGCCCCAGCAAGAAGCCTCGTGAGGACACCAGGTACCGCTGAGGCTCCATTAACCACACGAACTTGCTACTTCTTACAAGACAGCCTAGCATGGAGGAAGCCATCTGAGCAGTGAAAAGGCTTGACAGTTCTCCACAGCCTCTTCTCCAGGCTCCCGTTTCCCAGCAGCCCCTGCTCCGGATAAAGGCAGAGGCCAGGGCTGTGTTGGGGGTGGGGGAGGGAGGAGACAGAAGTAACTGATGAAGGGCCTCAGGTGCTCCTCACTTTATCCTTTGGTGGCCACTGAGAGCTCTTAGAAGACAAAAAGCAAACCGCGTCGTCAGTGGCAGGGTGTAGCTAGGAGAGCGCTTGCATCTGCTCAGCTCTGACTCTAAAGGCAGCACTGGCAGGCTTGTCCAGCACAGCCGACCTGGTGCTGAGTCTCAACCCACAAGAGGAGGCAGCTCACAGTGTTCTAGAGTTGTGCTCATTTGGCAGTGTGGTCATTTCTTTACAAGCTGCAGTTACCGAAGGTCGTCTTTGGCAAACTAAGTCGGGAAGGCTGCATGGCCTTGGCACACCTGTAAGACAAGTCCAGTCTTTGACACTCTGTGTAGCACACAGGTATGTCTTTTTCTTTTTCTTTTTGGTTTTTCAAGACAGGGTTTCCCTGTGGCTTTGGAGGCTGTCCTGGAACTAGCTCTTGTAGACCAGGCTGGCCTCAAACTCACAGAGATCCACCGGCCTCTGCCTCCCGAGTGCTGGGACTAAAGGTGTGCGCCACCAGTGTCTGGCTCTACACAGGCATGACTTAACTCTCAATTCCAATCTGATCAGAGAGGACTGCATGAAACACAGACATGTATAACAAGTAGATGACAATGGGGCTTAGTCTAGGCTTGGCATATATATAAAACTGTATTTAGCTGCTATGATCAAAATGAGAGCAATTAAAACAGATGATTACCCTGTGGTTAAAGAAAAGAGTCCCATATATCCAGGGCTTTACAATGTGAATCAGACAGAAATACCTGATACAGTAGCAGGGAAGGAACTCGCTCCACACCAGCGAAGGCGACAGAAAGGGAAGTGACGCTCAACAAGGAAGAATGACATCACTTAGAGGAGACAGCACTCCCCAGTCCTGTTCCTTCCAAGCAGAGAGCGGCTGACTGGGGACCACAGAGACGCCTGTGTGAACCCAGGAGCGCTCATGTGGCACCCATGCAAGCACAGGATGGGGGTGGGGGCACGGGCAGGGCAGGCAGGTTAAGGACTATGAAATGCCCATTCAAATGGCAAGGAATCAGTCTGTCTTCTTCTTGGCCCTGTGGATAACCAGTAACACTCAGCTACGACCTGTATTCTCAAAGCAAAGGGAATGTTGGGACAGTGCCTTAGCTGAGATACACATGGCCAGCACTGTCCCAGGCCTGGGGGGATGAGTTGATATTTAAGTCACTGTCCCAGGCCTGGAGGGATGAGTTGATACTTAAGTCACTGTCCCAGGCCTGGGGGGATGAGTTGATACTTAAGTCACTGTCCCAGGCCTGGGGGGATGAGTTGATACTTAAGTCACTGTCCCAGGCCTGGGGGGATGAGTTGATACTTAAGTCACTGTCCCAGGCCTGGAGGGATGAGTTGATACTTAAGTCACTGTCCCAGGCCTGGGGGGATGAGTTGATACTTAAGTCAGGCCTTCTGTGAAGTGGCTGATGGCAACCTTCCCTCAGGGGATGGATGTGTGATGGCCCTGCTTCTAACAGTGTCTACATGGAACTAGTCCTCCTCAGAGTGCTGAGAGGACTTGTCACCAGGCCCCTGAGCCTTGCCACTGTGTGAGCCATCAGCCCCGCTGTCTAGTACGGCTAAGGAGAAATCCTCATATGGATGACCTGAGTGTCCCATTTTCCAAGACAGAGTGAGCATCATGACATTAACATACTTGTCTGCCATGGAGGGGAGGGACACTGCTCAGGGACTCTGCTGTCCTGAGGAGAGGGACAGAAGGCGGATGTAACAATGCCAACAATGCCCACTGCCCCCGGCAGAATGCCTGCCTGGTCCCAGAAAGCCCTTCTTGCAGGAAAGGCAAGCCTGACACCGCTCTGTACCCTGCCAGCAGGAGAGACGCCACGCCTCTGCCAGCCCAGGGTGGGCCTGGGGACAGCAGACCTGTCCTTGCAATGCCTGCGTGCCCGGAGTGGGAAAGGGTTGAGGGAGCCCTGTGTCCTCTGGGACCTGGAATGTTCTTTAGGAGGTGGCGGCCTGGGCCTGGGTGGTGTGAAGGAGATTTCCCTCCTTATTTAACAGTTTAACAGACCACCTTAGGTTACAGCTGCCTCCCTTCCTGGCTGTGGAGATTCTAGAAGGTGAAATGCTGTTGTTCTGGGAGGATCACTGGTGGCCCAGGAAATGTACTCATGTCAGAGCAGGGTCTGGGTTCTAATTTGAAACCCCAGTCAGGAGTGAGGCTGGCCGCCAGATCTCCACAGGCTCAGTCCCCCTCTCCTCCTAAGTGTGGCTGACAGAGCGGCTGGGGGGAGGGGATGGAAGACAGGTGGCTTGGTTGTGTCTGACAGTGGGTGTGCCTGACCTAGCTTCTAAGTCAGAGCAAGGGTCCCAGGCCAGGTGACCTGGACACAGTTCATTGAAGGAGGGAGCCTCTTTCCAAAGGGTTCCAGTGGGTTGTGCCAATGCCAAATGCATGCTGGGAAAGAAACGGTGGTCCAGCAGGGTCTCCACCAGTGGAGTCCCTGTGTTCAGATGTCCAAGGGGCTTACGATGGTGAAGCCAGAGTCCTTGCTGCTGTCGTCATCAGGGCTGGAGCTGGGGTTGCTGGAGGAGGCTGAGGCTGGGCCCATCAGCGGGTCTGAGAACACCAGCGGGGAGCAGGCTGACATGCTGCTCTTCCCAGATGCGCTTCTGAGGGTGAGGAGGGGCTGGGCCTGGCCTGACAAGGGCCCCCTGGCACCCCGCCCCTCGTCTTCTTTGGAAACCAGGATGAAGTCATCTGAGGTCTCTCCAGCAGTGCACCCTGGTGTTGCTGACGAGGCCTGTGAAGTAAAACCAGAGAAGGATGGTGACCGCAGTGAGGACAACACTGTACAGCAGCTTGGGAGCAGGGTGGCTGGGAAGGCCAGGTGGTCACCTCACCCCGCACCCCATTTGGAAAGATGGGTGATTGGTTCAACTGCTCCAAGGCTCTGGTGCTGAGCCGGGGCTGCCTTGCGAGCCCTCAGAAACCAAACTCTTGCCTCCCACGAGATGGAATGCAAGCTCCTGTTCAACAAGCTGCAAGGAAAGGCAGTATCCATGCTGCAGGAGGGCCAGGCCCAGGATCTGGCCACCAGACCACGGGCGCCAGCCTGGTACCAGCCTCACGTGAGCCCCCTGTAAGCTTAAGTCTCGCATGTAAGAGACAGGGTGAGGCTCTGCCTCCTGCCTCATGCTCACAGTAAGGCGGGGTGGCATCCGCAGACTCACAAAGCCAGCTTTCAAACCTGACCTACTGCATCAGGAGCCATTTTACTACCTCACACTTAGCTAATCTTGGGTGCACACGCGTGGGTCTCCTGGAGCAATGGTGGTAACTGGTAGGTACCAGCAATAAATAGTAAATCAAAAAAAAAAAAACCAAAAACAGGAAAATCTAGAAAAGCAAAGTTCAGTGGAAAACACATAGCACTGATTTAATCCACAATTACTTTCCTCTTTACAAAATGTTAAGTAGATTTTTATTGTTTTAGCTGACAGAGACTAATCATATAGACACATGTAAAGGTTTGGGGTTAGCTGGGTGTGTTAGCTCACACTTTTAATCCAAGAACTTGGAAAGTAACTTGGTCTACACAGTGAGACTCTGTATAGGAAAAATAAAGTTAGCTAGCAAAGTTATAATCTTGCCAAGACCATCTAGCACCAGGAGGGACACTTAACCTCAGCATGCTGGCACAGGGTCTGTACCTGCCTCCTCTGCCATGAGGCAGGGGCTGTTCCCTTAGAGGGCGGCCAGAGGACAAGTCCATCAGCTTCTTGCAGAAGGTGAGTACAAGACCATGAGCTCCCTTTAGTGCAAACCAGATGCAGCGATGGAGGAGAAGACATGTCTGCTCAACGCTGAGCCACGGGTTCTGCTGCCTGCTAATGAGGCACTCTGTCCAGGCATGAATGCAACATAAAGGAGTAACAGGACAAGGGAAAGGAGCCACAAGTCTCCAACCTGAGAAGTGGGTTAAAATGTCTGAACCACTCAATCCTGAGTGCCAGGTCAATAGAACAATTCCTCCTCAGAAAAGGGTGAATACACTGGTTCCCAGGGCTCATGGAACCGAGCTCATGGTACTCCATAAGGGCCAGCAGACCTGCAAACTTTCCCTGAAAATGCACTACCTTAGGTCAAGCCTGAGGTCTGTTTACAAGACAAAGCAGGACCAGTCCTCAGCACCACAATGACTTCCAGAGTTTGCTACAGCAAAGTAGGAGCTGGCCTCAAGGGCAGCGAGTCCACAGCTCCAATTGGCCTGTGCCGGAGAGGCTTCTCAGGCAGCCTTTAGGAACACCCTGCGGGCCTCTGGCAGTTAAGGTACCAGGTGTGGAGGGGAGGTTTGTATAGGGCTTTTCAGCAATAAAAGAAGCTGTGCAGAGCATGTGTACTGTAGTTCCTGATCCCTATGAACTTTCTTGGGACAGAAAGCACTCCATAGTTCTGGATTTAAAAGACTTTCTTCTTGCATCCTACTAGATTCTGGGCCCTAGGAATTGTTATTTTAAATGAGCAGGCAGACACAACAAAAACTTCTAGACAGTGCTTCCACCGGGATTTAAAAAGTCCAGTACCATTTTTAGAGAAATCCTGGGCAAAGACTTGAGAATTAGAACGTTGCCACAATATGTAGACCATACTATCCTAACTGCAAGCCCGTCTACGGGGACTCAGTTAAAACATCTGGAAAGGGCTAACGGTCTCTAAGGAGAAAGTGCAGGTGTTCAAAGACACAGGAGTGCATGGAGCTTTAAAACATCCCAAGGACACAGCCTTAGCTGACAAGTGCAGGCAGTGGGCCAGTCAGCCTCTACAAACCCAGCAGCAGCGGTGGGAGTCCTGGGTGTGGAGTCTCACGCTTGAGTTACTCACAGACTCCCACATGTAAAAGAGACTGACTTCTTTCAGTGGGACAGACAGTGCAATCGAGTTTTATGAAGCTTAAGGAGCTGAATGCTTTTGCTTTAGGTCTGCCAGACCTAAATATGTGATGTGTTGTGTAGTCATGGAAAGACAGGGGTGACAGTGGGTGTGTTAACTCAGATGCTCTGTCCTCTACAAGAGCGAGGGTCAGACAGTCTCTGTAAGCCATTGCATATTATGTTTCAAGGATGGACATCATGCTTAATCAGAGGTTAAAAAAAAGAACAGCATCAGAAACGACTCTGGGCAGCGACTAACAGTGATCACCCCACACGAGCTCTCCAGTGCTCTGGAGACCCAGAGCAGCGCACAGGGGGCTGGCAGGTGGCACAGTGCCAGATGGGTGCAGAGCTGAAACCATGACGGATATGCAGCTCAGTTCTATTGCTTCCTGGATCATAAACAGTATTTGTGCATGGCTACACTGTTGTCCACATGCAAGAAGCCTCTGCAGAGAGAAGGCCCCTGCTGGACACCAGAGAAGCCCTGTGTGGGAAGGGACAGTCTGTGGTTAAGAGACAGCTGACCTGATCTTGTGAACTCTGGACCAACAGCTGGAGAGTCTGCATGGGACCCACCTAGGCCCTCTGGATATGGGTGACAGTTGTGTAGCTTGGACTGTTCTGGGGCACCTAGCAGTGGGACCTAGCAGTATGATCTGTCCCTAACGCATGAGCTGGCATTTTGGAACCTATTCCCTATGGTGGGATGCCTTGTTCAGCCTTGATTGGGGGGGGTTGGGGGGACTTGGTCCTGCCTCAACTTAATATGCCAGGCTTTGTTGACTCCCATGAGAGGCCTTACCCTTTCTGAGGAGTGGATGGGGGAGGGCAGAAAGGAGGTGGGGCAGAGAATGGGAGGAGAGAAGTGAGGGGAAACTGTGGTTGGTATACAAAATAAAAAATAATAAAAATATACGAAGAGTTCTCTCTAGGTTGGGTGCACAGTGGTCTCTTCCCATAGGCCCACTGAAGCAATACCGCTTGCCCTCGAGAACTTCAGCTTTTCAAAGGGCTCAAGAAAACCCCTGAGTTGGGCACTGGAATTAGGAAAACTGTCCAGTCTGGAAGCAGAGGCTTCTGTGCCAGCAACAGGAAATGAAGTGTGGAAGGGGCTGTGAGTCTGCTCTAGGCAGTAGCGTCCCTGAGAAGGTGCTGCAGAGGACACGGGAAAGACTGACAAGGGAAACACACAGCTGTGGCCTTGGCCCTGTCCCAGAGTCTGCAGCCACCTTAGAGTCTTGGCCCTAGGCTCAGAGAGACAGGTGAAGTCTCAGAAGCAGCTGCAAACCAAACCTCATTCACACTGAGTCCCACGGGTGAGGGTGGTGCAGGCAGGGGCAGGCTATCTGCACAGACAAGCTGGACTCGTGTGTCTGCTGGTTTCTGTGAGGACTCGTACAGGAGGATAGATGCCTCCCTCTGCCCAACACAAAGAGCAGAGAGGCCACAGGAAGACTTCTACAGGACTGCTTTTATCCTGTTCTTGCTTTTCTTTCAGAGACAGTAGCTGAGGTTTCCTGGTACAGCATGGAGACCTTAGTTACTCGGCAAGACTATAAGGGCCAATTGTAAGCTCAGGGTCACTTGAGCTGAGCTGTGGCCGACACCACTCCCATTCTTTACGGGAGTCTAAAACAGACCCCTTTGAGATGCTACAAGGACCATCCTTCTCAAGGACCCTGGTTTGAGCTAATCCAGGAGACCTGGGGCTGAAATTCAGAGTTCAACTAAAAATCTGTTAGGGACCTATGCGCTCTGACAGGACACCCCCTGAAGAGCATACACACATCTAAGTGGGTGGAGGAAAAGGAGAGACTTGTCTGCTTTGGAAATGACTCCTTCCATGTGCTCAAATTCCCATGTTGCCCCTAAGAAACAGTCGGGGGCATCTCTATTGTGGTTTCTGGCTTTGCATTTACCAAGGGGCCAACATACTTAGTTCTACAGGTCCTTACAACTTGAAAACTAGCAAGGCCAGACCCTGGCTTACCACAGCAGAGACATTTTAAGTGCAGCAAATGGTTAGTGTCCTTTAAAGATTTTTGTTCTGCAGTATTTTTTACATGATCAAGAACAAAAGAATCATTTTAATTTTAAAACTGCCAATTAAAAGTAGCTGATGGGTCTGTGTGCACCAATGTTTACGTCTGTGCGGGGAAGGAAAGTTTAGAGTGACTTATCAAATTAAAAAGCAGACATTGTGCTTCTATGAGTAAAAATGCACTCATACAGCTCTATGACCATTTCAAAAACCTTCACAAGTCAGCTAGAGCTCTGCCAGCTGAGGAGACCCTTAAAACTGAAAACAACAACTCCCATTCCAGTGCAGGGGTTTTGCTAAGGTTCACTTTTTAAGGGTGAACTTCCTAAGCTGACTCAAGGAATGTCATGGGAACACCAGTCTTGATGGCACATGCCTATGATCCCTGCACTTGGGAGCATGAGGCAGGAGGACCTCGTGTTTGTGGCTGGCCTAGGCTATATAGTGAAGTCCTATGTCAAGCAATCATACAAACTCATCAGAACTTTAAACTACAGGTTGCAGGGAGTCATCAAGGTGGGTCAGAAGGCAAAGGCATGTGCCAGCAGGTCTGAATTTGATGGCTTGGAATCACACAGTAGGGGTGAACCAAAGCTGTCCTTTGGCCTTCATATGTATATTACAAAATAAATATGTAATAACTTTTAAAAAATAAATGTAAGTTGGGCATAAACAACTGCTTTTTGCTGGCCACTTGGAGGAGCACAGGCTTCCCACGGGTACAGGGCACCTGGCAGCCAGCCTTTGTGCCTTTCTTGTTCTGCTACTGGTAAGGGGGTGGGTGGAGCACACAGGCAGCCCAAGCCCCCTGTAGCCAGAGCATCCCGTTAGGACGACTCACAGAGGGTGCTGGCTGAGACATCAGCAGCCATGGCTCGCAAACCCAGGTGCTCCATGGACTTCAAGAGTTGTTAAAAACAAACAACAACAAACCAAAGCAGAAAGAAAGACCCAAATGTCACAGAGACAGCTGTATGTGGTGGTAAATTCCATAGGCTGTCCTCTGCCTTTCCCAGGGGACACTCGCTGACCCCTTGTCTTAGCAGGCAGTCAATAATGAGACTCCCAGCGTTAGCAGGACGGGACAAGGAGCTGGAAGCACATCCCTGACTGTCATCTCCCAGGGTGGCCGGAGGCTCAGGCCAGTGCTGCCACACTCAGGTTTATATGGTGCAGCTCTCAGAGACACTAGTATCCTTGTCACCACTAGGAAAATGGTGCACAACCAGGGCTCACTCTGAATTCTCACAGCGGAAGTACTTTGACAGGGTTGCCTTGCTCAGAACTTGAAGAACTCAGGTTAACTTCATGAAAGCCCACTCTCATGAGTGTTTGCGAAGCTCCTGTACCTGCTTGCAGGACCTAGGAGCTTGGCTGCTCTGGTCCTGGCCACTGGAGCAGTAGTGGTCGTCGGCGATGGTAATCTGCTCGTTTTCTCCAGCCTCCAGCTGACTCTGGTTGAAGCGCAGGGAACCTTTCAGAATGTCTTTGATCTATTTCAAAGGAGAGGAGAATAACAAGAAGATAAACGCTTGTGCTAAATGCTAGTTAAGTGTGCCATACAATTGAGGAAGACTTGTCTTTGACCTGTTTTCCTATAGTAATACTTTTGTTTGTAGCTCTAGTTATCTTCAGTCACTGAACTTTTAGAAAGAATAGGTCCTAAGTTTTAAGCCATGTGCCAGTCGGAGTAGTATGGCGAAATCTCTTGCTCCTCTAGCAAGACAACTTGCAGAGGAGCTAGGATGGGAGTCAGCCCTTGTCCAGATTTCCCATGCCACGCACTGTGCAGCACCACACAACTCCCTTCCACACGGGAGCCAAGTTCTACGTTACAGTAGCCGTCAGCTCACTGTACCTCGTCAGGGAGGACTGCATCACTTCACACCATTGCGAGAGGAGAAATGCAGTAAGTGATCTTGAGCGAGAACACACACACATTATTACATTATGTTGTTACAGTCACTCCATTCTTAGTTACTGTTGTTAATCCCTGGCCGTGTCTAGTTGCTAAACCTGCGTTTAGGTGAGTATGTGTAGGGAAAATACAGCATATGCTCAATGCGGGGAAAATCCATGATTTTAAGCATCCTTGGAAGGGTCTTGGGATATATCCCATGGATGAAGTAGGGAACACTGTAGTATGAACGCCAGCATCTTACTATGAGAAACTGGTAAAAATCCAGCTGTTTTAAAGGCCTGGATTTACTAATGGCGGGTTAAAGTCTGAGCATGTTCACAAACAGGTACCCGCCGTGATGACTGTTCACCCCCCCCACCCGTTCAGACTCAGACGCACGTTGCTTTTCACTGACACTGCATCTTGCCTAGGTCTGCCAGGGTTGGGTAAATGGGGTCCTTAAGGGCCCACTGAAAGTGGTGACTGTGCTCTGTGCTCCAACAGATAAACCAGCAAACCTGATATGGTGGTGAGGTAAACACAGTGGGCCTTGTAGGAAGAGGGAGTAGGGGGCAGTGGTGGGGGAATGGAAACCATTTGGGCCAGTGAGACGGAGCCCTAGGAGTAAGGAGCATGAGGAGGTACGGACTCGGACGGAACTCTACCTGAGAGAGTAGAGAGGCCATGGCTCTTATGGCCCTATATGTTGTAAGTAAGCCTCTCCTGAGGGGCCCAGTGCTGGCCTGTGGAACACACATACCTGTTTTAACCCTGCCAAGGAAACCAGGATTTGATCTTCTTTTTCCAAATTCTCTTGTAACACCACATCCTGAATATTTACTGAAAACAGAAAAGTGACATTTTATAACAAATGCTCTGTGTAAAACTTTCTGGTTGCCACACAGCTTTAGAAGGGGACCTGGGGGGCAGCACATCCTACAAGCCGGTCTACCCCTGCACTTCCTTAATGGGCTGACAGTGACAGGTGGTGGCCCAGTGAGACACTGGGGAGCCTCTCACTGACTTATGGTCTGGCTGGAAATCTGGAGTCCTTGTCCCATGTCTGGAATGAAGAGTTCTTCCATGAGCTTTCTTCACCACCCCACAGCCCAATGGCGCTTAGCCTATGCCCTGCCAATGATCAAGTCCCCTGCATGACAAAAATAATAAACTTGGTGATCTGCAGGAATAAGCCATGCTGCCATTCAGTGGACTGTTAGTGCTAAGAGGACAAACCCATGGCACTGAGACCTTACATATCACTGCCCATGGAGCCAGCTTGCTTGAGCCCAGTGTCTTTAAAGAGAATGCTTCTGTTCTTGAGGGACCTAAGGACCTACGGACCTTCAGATATGACCTAAGGGACCAGCCAAACCAGTGCTGACCATTACTGACACACTGCAGTGTGATGTACGGGGTACTGTGTGCCAGGAAGACACAATGAGAACACATTTCACACAAGATGCTGCGAGGCAGACCAACAAGCTTTGAGGCCCCTTTAAATAAGTTCCACAGTCCTTCAACTTTTAAGTTCTCTGACTACCATGGCCTTATAAAATATCCAACCTATAATTCTTGAAACACTGTGTTCTTCCCTTGTGACCTGCCTGAGGAACACATGGCCATGTGTGCCTCCCCTTCTGCCATCCCCCTTTTCAGGTAGAGAGACCCAACTCCCACCACCAACCCTATCTACCCCATACTGAAAGTCCTTACCCCACGCCCAGACAGGCGGCCCGACTCCCACCACCAACCCTGTCCTGTCTGACTATTTCATCCATACTTGGACCCTTCTCAAAGCAGACACTAGGCCCAAGTCACTAGTTCCACTCATCCTGCAACCTGTGGACTCACTCTCTCTCTAGGAAGAGGTGCTGGACCCAATGGCAGCATTCCACTCACCCTTGCGACCTGTCCTAGCGACACATGCTTCATGTCTGCCTTCTAAAGCTCTTTCTGGAAGCCCCTTCACCTAGGAAGGGTTAACTCACACTTTCAATCCCATCCACCTCTGTTCAGCACCTAACCCTCCCCATCTCTAGGCAGGGAATGTAGACGTCTTTCACCAACTGAACCCATGCCACACAAAATCCACGCTTCCTTGCTGCCCACACTGGTCAACTCCACCTGCTCTCCAGTCCTGAGCACCACCCCTCTCCAGAAAAGTTCATAAGATGTGCACCTGGGACTTCATTAACCCTTGTCTCCCAGGGCCTCCCCACCTCTCCTCTTAGGCAGGGGTCCTGGGCTTGCACCACCAACCCCACGGCAGCCCTGCCCGAGAGAAGTCCCAAGATTCCCCGTGGCCCCCTGAAAAGTGGCTTCTGAGAATTTTCTGGATCGATGAAAGGTCTCCTGGGCTTAGAGATATGACAGTACCATCTTAAATATACAATCATGAATAACCAAAACAAGACTATACCAAAAGCTAGTATTTCCATAGTAATGTCCCTTGAGAAAAGCAACTTAGATGATGCACGAGACAATGAATTTAGAATAGCAATAAAAAACAGGGTGGAAGAACTCAAAGAGAATATGAATTAATGCTAAAATGAGGATCACAACACACAAATATTTAATGAAATAATAAAAATAACTCAAGATATGATAGTAGAATATAATAAAGAAATAGAATCTCTGAAATCAAGCCAAAATGAAATGAAACTTGAAAAATTCAGGAATCAAAAATCAAACAAAACAAAAATTAGAAGGATGCCTCACCTGGATATTCTCTGTGTCACTTGACTAGATCAAGTGGCACAGAGAATATCCAGTCTTGAAGGCAGAGGAACTGGCTCACTCAGTCAAAAACAAACAAAAACCAACAACAGCAACAAATAAACAAGAATAAAACATGTAGGAATTGTGGACCTAACACACGGAAAACCGTTACAGTAGAAGGAGATGAGTCCCTGGCAACATGATCAAAAGAAAGGTTCCTAATCTAAAGTGTCTATCCAGCTCCAAGAGGCTTACAGAAAACCAAACACACAGGGCCAGGAAAGAAACTCCTTGTGTCATGTAATAGCCCAAATACTAATGCACAAAACAGACAAAGGACAGTGAAAACAGCATGAGACTAAGATCAGCTCATATACAAAGGAAGGTCCATCAGAATCATACCAGATTTTTCATTGGAGAAATTGAAAATCATAAAGAATGGACTGAAGTTTTACAAATTATGAAAGTCCACAGATTCCTGTACAGAATATTATGCCCAAAAAAAATTACCAGTCAGCCATAATAGAAGGAGAAAGGAAATTTTATATGAGAAAAACAGATTTATGGACTTTATGACCACTAACCTACTTCTACACAAGCTATTGGAAAGAATGCATATGTCTGAAAAACAGGTCAAACACACAAGGAACAAGTAATTCTGGAATGCTAAATCAAGAGAGGTCTAGTAGGGGCTGCAGAGATGATTTAATGTAGAGATGTCTGTTCTTGCAAAAAGACCTGGATTCAATTCCTAGCACTCAACATGGCTGCTCACATCTGTAACCCCATTTTCCGGAGGTCTGACATCCCCTTCTGCACTCTGGACACCATGCACACACATGCAGAGACATGAATACAAGCAAACACTCCTGTATGTAAAATTAAAAAAATCTTTACCAAAGAGTTCTAACTGAAAACTACAAAAGAAAAAGAAAGGAATTAGTACACATTGAAAACAATGTGAATTATTTTAACTCCCCAATAAACAGAAATAGATTAACTGCTTGGCCAGAAAATAGGATTAATTGTTTGCTACCTCCAAGAAACACATCTCATGACCTACACTTAAACCACCTTAGGCTAAAAGGATGAAGAAAAGTATTCCAAACAAATGGAACAAAGAAATAAGTATGTGTATCTGACAAAATAGACGTCAAAATTAGTCAGAAAAGGCAAGGGAGCACACATTATATTCATTTAAGGAAAATCCAGTAGCAGGATATTATAATACTAAACATATGTGCACCAAATACAGGAAGACCCAATTTCATAAAAGAAACATTATTAGACTTTAAACTACAGTAATAGTGAGTGATTTCACTAGGCAGGTCACCTGGAAATAAATAGAGAAACTGCAATTAAATAACTTATAAATAAAGTTCCTGGAGACTTTTCTTGTTCTGCCAGGTCCTGCCATCATTCTCAGCCCCAAAGAAACACTCAGAGATGCATATTAATTATAAAACTGTTGAATGATGGCTGGGCCTATCTCTGTCTCAATTATTAACCCATTTCTATTAATCTATGTATTTCCATGAGGTCCTGGCTTACCGGAGAATGTCCAGACCTGTTACTCCTTTGCTGACTACATGGTGACTGTGTCTGGTGGGCTCTCTCTGTCTATCTTTCCAAGAAATCTCCTGATCCTAGTCCTGCCTCATTAGCCAGACAGTGTTTTATTCATCAATCAATAAGAGAAACACACACACACACACACACACACACACACACACACACATACAAGGACATCCCCCATCAAACCTAAGAGGTTATCTATACGACATTTCTCAACACAGCCGCCCATAGGACTTTCTCTAAAATGGACCACTTACTAGAAAAGAAAACAAGTCTCAACAGAGATTGGACAGTTGATGACGGGAAACTCCTCAAGGGGCCTCTCGAAGGCCCTCATATCAGAAGTGCTCCAGACATTTCCAGTCACTGTAGAGAAAGATTTCTCTCAGGACAATTAGAAGATCCACTGTCTATTGTAAAGACTAATGGCACTGTGGATGACACATTAGTTATTAAGGATGAAATAGTCAATACTAGAGGAAATGAAAAATGTGTATTTTGGCAGACTTTTATCAATGACAGGAGACCAAAAGTAAAAGTACAGGTAAATAACATTATTCTGGAAGGCTTGCTTGACACAGGAGAGGATATTTCTATTATAACTCAGGAATTGTGACCAAAAAAAAAATGGCCTTTACAAGTTGTAAACGTCCAATTTTTAGGAATCAGGATCCTATCTCAAGTCAAACAAAATACAAGATGTGTATAATGTATTGGTCCAGTAGGACAGAGAGGAAGATTGAGGCCATATGTCTCACGTATTGCTATGAATCTCTGAGGTCATGATTTGTTACAGCAATGGAACACCCAGATTAACATTTCTCCTGTGTCAGATATGAATCAAAAGCAACCTGTTAGTGGTAGAAAGAAAATTGTAAGGTACTACAGTAAACAGTCACAGAACATACAGGCTTTACAGTTACAAGATGCTAGTGACACACCTACAGAGGAACCAAAAGCCCTACCCTTAAAATGGCTAACAGATGAACCTGTCTGGGGAGGACAATGGCTTTAGTTAGAGGATTTAGAAAAGTTAGTTCAGAGCCGGGCGGTGGTGGTGCACACCTTTAATCCCAGCACTTGGGAGGCAGAGGCAGGCGGATCTCTGTGAGTTTGAGGCCAGCCTGGTCTACACAGCGAGTTCCAGGACAACCTCCAAAGCAATACAGAGAAACCCTGTCTCGAAAAACCAAAAAAAAAAAAAAAAAAAAAGAAAGAAAGAAAGAAAGAAAGAAAGAAAAGTTACTTCAAGAACAGCTAAATGCTAGACATATTGAAGAATCTACCAGTCCATGGAATTACCCTGTATTTTTTGTTAGCAAAAAGAAGTCTGGGAAATGGAGAATGGTTACTGATCTGAGAGCTATCACCAAGGTAATTCAGCCTATGGGCTCTCTACTGCCTGAGATGCCACTACCTTCACTAATACCTAAAGGATTTCCAATTGTAGTCATAGATTTAAAAGATTGCTTCTTCACTATACCTTTACAAGAAAAAATAGGGAAAAATTTGCCTTCACAGTACCCATCTATACAATTCTCAAA